TTCATGCTGGGATATCCTGGACATTCAGCTCTCCAGCTGACAATTGCTCCTCGGGATCCTGCTCCAAAGATTATCTTCATTTCAAATATGGCCTTAAAATAGCATTGTCTTTGCTTTTTTTTTTTTTTTTTTTTTTTTTTTTTTTTTTCCACTTTCTCCCTCAAAAGCGGTCGCTGAAGATTTGCCATGGTTTTCATGCTGTTGATTGATGATTTGAATAGGGAAATGCCTCCAGGATAAAAATCAAGTGGAATAGGAGAATTGAGGGTTGGGGTTGGAGGTCCCAGGGTCTCAGAGCAGTGGGACAGAGGTTTTTTTTGGGGTGAATGTCACACCCAGCCCTGCAGGGACCCCCAGACCCAGGAACCACTGAGAGATGAAAGCTCTGATTTACACCTTCGGTGCCAAAAAGCTCCTGAAACAACCACAGTTATCAAACTTTGATATTTACACACAGATACTGTAGAATATAAATAATATATATGTAAAATATTCTCTTTAATAGCCTCTTCTAATTGAAAAAAAAATATTTTTGAAAGAGAAGAGGCCCAGTGAGGTTCAGAATTCATGGCTGAGAGGTTCAAATCAAATCAAATCAAACCTGGGCTGGATCCAACTGCCATCAGCTCCTGTGTCACCCTGGCTGGATCAATCTGTCCCTTTTCCTCAGAAGCAGATGAGAATGACACACAGACATCTCTGGAAATCCTTCTGAGATGCTCCTGGCACGTTTCAAAGGGAATTTTTCAGAAAGRCACAGCTCCCTGMMCAGAWCCCAACCAGCCCCASCTCGAAACCCAGATGGAAAATTGTCCTGCAAAAAAAGGCTGAGAGAACTGGGTTTGTTGAGCCTGGAKAAGGAAAGGTTTGGGGTGACCCAAMTGTGCCCTCRYAGGGCCTGAAGGAGATGATGAGGAAGGTGGAGAGAGATGATTTACGAGGGATGGAGGGACAGGACAARGGATGGCTCCAAACTGGCAGAGGGCAGGGTTRGGTGAGATATTGGGAAGGAATTTSCTGTGAGAAACCAGCACAGGGTGTCCAGAGAAGCACCTGGATCCCTGGCAGTRCCCAAAGCCAGGTTTGGAGCAGCCTGGGATGGTGRAAAGTGTTCAGGGAYCCTYCCAACTCCAACCATCCCGGGATTCTGTGGAACAGTGGCCACCTGAGCAACTCAGAGCCAGCCACACCTGAGAAAACCAAACCTCAGYGGGTTTGGAGCAGCCCCAGWGCAGCCTGCACATCCCACACTGCTCCTTCCTTTAATCCTGAGCCTTTCCCAGCCTGGGGGAAATCACTGGAATCCAATTTCCAGGGTGACCCCAGAGCCCCCCACCCTGCAGAGCTTCCCTCCAACCCATGGCAGGAGCAGGGTGGAGATTCCATAATCTCCAAATTACAGGGTGGCTGCTGCCCAGAGAGCTAAAACTGGGATGTGCCACGGGAATGATACAGCCCCGACATAATCACGGGGTTGTGGGGAGAGCTGGCTATTATGGGGTATTTATAGGGTCAGAGGCTGGCAATTACAGAGCAGGCTCGTCTCTACCCCAGACTGCCATCCCGAGGAGCTCCCAAAGGATCAAATTGGGGTTCCCAATGGGATTCCAACTCCAGTGAGGCCTAAATCTGGCTCCCTAAAAGAGTCTGGGCAGAATTCAGAGAAAAAAAGTCAGTTCTGTTATTGCAGGGCCTTCAGGTGCATCCAGGGCAGTCCCACACCCACAATGGACAATGGCTCACGGGTTTTTCACCCTTTCTCACTTTTGTCCATTTTGGGGCTGAATCCTCCAATTGCAGCTCAGCCAATGCAGTCATTGACTCCAAGTTGGCTCCCCCCAATTCTCTGCTGTTTCCATCTCTCGGCCCCTGGCCACTTTCTCAAATTAAATACAGGAATGTTCCTGATGGGATGTTTTCTATCATATAATATAATCATCTCAATTTTCACCAGGAATAATAACAAAATCATCTGAAAGCACCCATCACACCTCAGAGGAAAATGATAATTTGAGATATCATTTCTTTAGTGCCATCTCAAAGGCACGTCCAGGATACACAGTTTATAGCTGTAACAGCATTTTCACTCATAAAAGAAAAGCAGAACTCCTTCAGACCCTGACAGATCCATGGATGAACAGGATAATTCTGTCCCAGCTCTGCTCTRAAGCCAGGCTTTCCTGAGAGCGAGCTTGGAATGGGAACTGCAGGGAGCAATATCAAAGGTGGACAGACAGGAAATGCCAGTGGGAACTCCTGGATGGCTCCCAAAACAGAGCTGGGATGGGAATGGGAATGGGAATGGGAATGGGAATGGGAATGGGAATGGAATGGGATGGGAATGGGAATGGGATGGAAATGGGAAAGGGAATGGGAATAAGAATGGGAATGGGAATGGAATGGGAATGGAATGGGATGGAAATGGAAATGGGAATGGGATGGAATGGGATGGAAATGGGAATGGGAATGGGAATGGGAATGGGAATGGAATGGGAACGGGATGGGATGGGAATGGGAATAGGAATGGGAACAGGAAGGAGAAGGGGAATGGGAATGGGAATGGGAACGGGAAAGGGAATGGGATGGGAAAGGGAATGGGAATGGGATGGGAATGGGAACAGGAATGGGAATGGGAACAGGAATGGGAATGGGAACAGGAACAGAAAGGGGAAGGGGAAGCTGCTGTGTCCCCACGTCCCCTCCAAGCACAACACAAACCCCGCAGAACATCCTGACCCCAACAACCCTAAAAAGTGACACCACACTCTGGGTGGGGGCAGACCCAGATGGATCCTGTCAGCCCGAAATGTCCACGGCAGAAATGATTCAGCTCCCAGGGCTGCTGCTGCTGCTGCTGCTGCTCTGTGTTTTCCACAGCTGCTGCCCTGACAACGCAGGGCTGAGCCGGGATGGGAACCACAGCAGC